CTCAGGTCACGAAGTGGAAAATGTTTCACGCTGAGGGGAGTGCTTTGATGCTGTCCAAATAACCACGAAAAGCTCCCATAGGACGGGAATCTCATGTATCCAGGATCAACAAAGCATCCTTCAAAACAAAGAAGGAGTGGTTCACAATGAATGTTATCCAATGTTAGAAACCCATCAATGATAGCAATGACGACGACAAAGACGAGTTCTATGAGAGACTGCAATCGATCACAGCGAAGAGCTCAGGAAAGAACCTGACCATCCTGATGGGAGGTCTAAACGCCAAAGTCAAACTAGACAGCAAAGGATATGAGGATATCATAGAACGACATGGACTAAGGGGAAGGAACGAGAATGGTGACAGATTTGCTAATTTATGTGCATTTTAACAAAATGGTTATAGGCGACACAGTATCCACACACAAACGCATACACAAAGCTACATGGACCACACCTAACCACACAACGAGAACCAGCTAAATCATATTAGTATCAATAAAAAATCCAGACGGACAATGTAAGACGCGAGAACAAGGAGAGAGAGAGCAGCTGACACAGATTCAGATCGACACACTCAAGTCACACATAGAAACAACTGCAAGTATACTTCACTCTCCATTCAAGAAGATTTGGAACGAAAAAAGCAATCACACTTGATGGAGAAACTCTGGAACAAGTGGAAACATTCACTTGTCTGGTTAACAAAATCCACCAACCAGCACGATCTGATTCAGACGTGAAGACGAGGATTGGTGAAGCAACAATAGCATTCCCACAATTCCTACAACAACATATGCAACTCGAAACAACTGTCAATCAATATCGAAACCACAATCTTCAATACGAATGTCAAAACAATCAGTTCTACTGTACGGATCTGGAACGCACACAACCACTACAACCATCATCACAATCATACAAGTATTTCTAAACAATTGTCTATGCAAGAAACTCCAGATCCATTGGTCGGACACCATAAGCAACAACCTACTGTGGGAGAGGTTAAACCAGATTCCATCTGAGGAGGAAATTAGGAAACAACGTTGGAAGTGGATAGGACATTCATTACGAAAGTAACCAAACTGCATCATGGGGCAAGTGCTAACTTGAATCCTGAAGAGAGACGGAAAAGAGGAAGGCTATTGGACACACTACATCGAGGATTAGAAGCAGACATGAAAATGCTGAATAGGAACTGTGAAGAACTGTAAACGATAGTCCAGTACAGGGTTGGATGGAGATTGCTAGCGGTCGACCTATGCTCCTCGACGAGGGAGAACGGGTGTACGTAAGTATATTAATTGAATCTAATATCTTTGCAGCTGAATATAACATATTAGTGAAAAATTACCTGGACTTAAAATGTCGTCCAATTAGAGTAAATGACTTCAATTACATAAAATTGATGGAATTAGGATCATAAATTTAGGTCGCGTTGATCAATCATTCTTTACATACGACAAGAATCCTTATGAATATTTAAAGACATAATTCATCCCTTTATTGAGAAGTGAAACGAAGAATAAAATTCAAATTATTACACAATTCTTCAAAGAGTTCGTAGTAAAATTCTATTAAACAAAAAGTAAAAAAATAAGCCACTACATAATCGGTGAAGTTTTAGAATTACACATTAAAATATGTCAAACACCTAATTTTTTATGTATACATGTATACATTCATGTAATTTGCTTTCTAAAACAAGTTCGTATGTAGCTTCCCACCTACACCGGGAATATATGGACTGAAATCAAGAATTTTCTTTAATATTTTTCAATTTTTTTAGTATCTTGCTATGCTACTAGACATACTAACAGAACTAATATTGCAAAATAGAAAATTTATCGCTAAAAGCTGTACTTTTTTTCTGTTTCATTTGTGATATCATCATTCTAGTGGTAATATTCATTCTTTAAAATAAAGTTTATCCGAACATACTGTAAGTTTCAAATAATGATTAATTATTTTATACAAAAGAATTTACAAGAATAAAACACAATAAGCCATGAAAATTTGAAATTAATTCAAGTTTTATCCAGCTTCTTGGTGTTTATACAAAATTCTTTGCCATACTCCAACTTGTTATCGTGTTGTTATTGTCTACGGACCTTACTTTGAAAAACTTTTTAAAATTTACTTGTACCGTTAGATCTAGTGTTTAATTCACGTACAAAATCAGAAGTTGGATGGACAAAAGATTAGTAATATTGTTTTAAAAGAAACATAAACAGGTCAATACTGGTAGAGTTTTGTTCTCTAAGCTGGATGGTTTACTTGTGAAGTTTTCATTGTCCTTATGAATAAAATCATCAGCATAAACTTCAAGTTTGTTATTTTTTATTTACAAGCGGTATTTATCATGAATTGATTTCAATTAGAGTACCACTGAAAACTGGAGAGGAATGGATAGTTGTTTTTTTCATAGTACCAGATTCTTAAGTATATCAGACAAACATCTCTTCTATGGGTCCAATCTTGAACATACAGTTCTCTGTATAATCACAGCGATGAGACAACTAATTTTTTTCTTCATCAAGTGTAAAATAACTAGAAAGGTAATATACCGAACTTTCTCTTCAGATGTTGTATATGATAAGTCATGTAAAGACTAGAAAAAATCTATATTCGCATAATTAACTCATTTCATATTAACTTATTCTTATAAACAAATACTAAATGATAAATACACCTGTCTTATTATGTCATTTGAAAAATTATTTGTTTATATCTATTTGACAGATAATTTAATACAAATGATCATTGACTTTTATCTTTGTATATTCTAATGATTTATCTAAGGCCTAAACCAAGTGAAACGGTTCTAACTAAATAAATATTCTTAATACAATTTTTGGATTACCATTATATATATATTAAGGATACATTTTGTGATCAAACGTTTATTCAAAGTATTCTCTGTAGCAATTTAAATGAATTATTTTGATCATTTATTGTAATCAAACAAATCTCTCGGATATTTTTTCTCCATGGAAAAAACATTAAAGCGAAGTGGAAAGCGATAAATTTTTGATTGAAGTCAAGAACAAAGAGAAAAAATACAAGAGAACAATAATCATTGATCGATTAGACACTTGAATAAGATAAAATACAATAATGTCCATGTACGATTGATTTGATTAGTAAAAAAAACTTGCCAGTAAATGAACCCCAAAAATATGATGAACGTAATGGATCATATACTTTCATATATTCTGATCATCAATTTCAGGACATACCAACATATGTCTTTATACTAGGATTTCATTTCTGTTAAGAGAAATTTTCTTGAGAGTCTCACTGGTTTGAATATAAAATTATTAAGGAGATTTTGGATGAATGAGTTGTTATCCAACTTACCCCCTATATCTGGTATTCACAACTCTCCTTTCAGTAAATCATGAAACCAAGAATAATATCAATCTTCACTTTAGTGTATAAATAGGTGACTCAATGGTTTGAACACTTGAAATTGAAGTTAGGCTAGACAAGATGTAACGGTGACTTTCATTTGCTTTTTTTTCTCATAAAATATCTCAAACATCTCGAATTATTTCCTATATCGTATGGTTTCATTATTTTTAAACTTTTACAATAAAATATTTAGCATAGAAAAACTAGATAATCAGTAATTCAATTAACACTTATTTTAGCTTAATAATATTTTCTGTCTATTCAAATATATATTATTTCCTGAAGGGTAAAACAATTAGTCCAAAATTAATATTGAACTGATTTGAATAAGCATCTGTTAATTTGATAATCATTATAGTAGAATAATTATCTGAATACGTATATATTTGTATTACGTTAATCGGTCTATGAATTCTAAATATAAATTATATGTGGCATAGAATTCAGTTCATTACTGATCAATATTATTATGATAAAATGAGATAAGTTACATTACATCGAAGTTTTGTAATTCTTGTAAAAATGGTAACATAACAAGCCAATACTCTCTTATGTTAATTAAAATTGAGGTCATTAAAAGTGTAAAATATAGTTATTTTAAGAACAGTTCACATTTTATTTTTGTTCCATATCAACATGAAGCAGTAAAAGTTTAATGACACTGCAATCAACATTTAAGTATACCTTGAAATCCATGTATGTGTTTAAATCAATGTATGGATATTCATGCATGCTCTAAAAACACCTTCTATCCAAAACAAATTTACGATTAAGACAAACTTAATTCATGATTATGGATGTTAGATAGTTGAGAATGTCTAAAAAAAACAAAAACCAATATTTCAGTACGAAACCTAGTGATTGGTGTAATCTTCAAATACGTTAACAACTATTATCAAAAGAATATAATATTCAGTATTTGTCAGAAGATTGACGGTTACTGTTTTTAAACAGATATCTCTTGAAATAATATCAAAAGCTCTACATCATGAGCCTTGAGTCAGTGTTTTTTAGGTGCTTGCTAGCAGAAATTTATTTATATTGGTTAATACTAATACAACTGACATAGTTATGTTGCTTTATCCCCAAACTACGACCTCACATTTTACACAAACACACTGTTTTTAATTCATATTTTTAAACCTAATCCATCTGTGGTAACTAAATAACTTAAAATAACGGTGAAATGATTCTTTTCTATAAAATTCTGAACCATTTACTGACTATTTTTTAGGAATCTTTACTCAGAGTGTTGTGAATTGAAAGGACAGACATTCAAAAATTACTGTAGAATAACTCACACATTTCTCTTTGACTCTACAAACTACTGATATACAACAAACAACAAGAAAATTTTATTTTGAATGGTAATTTTAATTCATATTATGACAGTTTAACATGAACATTTAGATATATGCAATTAGTTGTCTAAGAGGTGTGATACACCAAGTCACTAGCTACACAAACGTGAAATATTGGCTAAGATGGAATTGTCATAAAAACAATGGAAGTGACAAGAAAACACTTCAGATTTATAGATAACAATTATGATAATTGAAATCACAGACTAAAAATTGAATACAGCTTACCGTCACCACATTCAAACAATCCATTAAATGCTTTTGCTGTAACAGTATGAGATCTTCAAATGTTAGTTTGGCTTTGTGAGAACTCTTACATTTATTGTTTTTTTGGCTTTTTGTTGTATGTTTCTGCTGCTCATTTGAGTGTTTTCGTTTATCCATGCTTGAATCTGAGAAACTGCTCTGGCTAGCTGGGTGAATATATATAGGTAGGAATGACGGTTTGTTATTCTTGTCTTCAACAGTTATTCTTTGATCTGTTCTTTGTTGACTTTGACGTCCATCATTAAGAGATAATGTACGATCTACTATCTTGCGTTTATTGCTTAATTTGAGACTAGAAGAATGCAAGACCTAAATAAATTGGCAGGTTTCAAAGCAAGAAATACTTTTATATCTAAGTGTTTGTAGTTTAGTCAAATTAATTACTAAAAAAATAACTACGTATATTTTAAATATTTTAACACTAGATTCATATGCTCCGCTTACAATTCAATAACCATTATTTAGTTCGCTCATAAAAGCAGGATCAAATCTTATGACATTCATAAATTGTCGTTCAATAACACGTGTATGCATTCTTGAATAAAAACAACTGAGAGAAATGTATCATACTTCCTCTCAAAAGAAAACCGATCATTCAGTTCTTAACCTTATATATGAGGAACAGTCTGGTAGTCGTTAGGATCATAGGTCTGAAGAGGTGGGAATTTGAGATATACGATTTTAAAAGAAATGTCCTTTCACCCGAAACAATGATAAGAAGTTAGAAATATGACACCCATGGTAAAAACACTGCATTAAAGTTAGCTAAACTTCTTACTATCACGACCCACAGGTAACTTTAACCTTTTGTGAAGCTTTTAATTAGTTTGTGTCTTTCATTCGTTTTTCAAATGTTTGATTTAAAGAACAGTGTATGTACAGCAGTAACTATAATTTTTATCAGATGTTGACAAAGTGGACACCGAATAGTTAGATTTATCTATTACTTAAGAATAGCAATAGGTTACAGTTAAACTAACTCGCCGACTATACTTAAATCAATAACTTATGCATAACGATTTGGTTTCTTTCTTCAGACTGTAATATGTGATCACTGTGACATTAAATTCATTTTAACTTCCATTTAGCTCAAGTTTTAACCATTTTAGAATGCAGACACTAATTTCTCCCTTACTTTAGTGACCGCCTTTATTTACACCTATAATAGACACATCTTCAGGTCTATAGTTTTTTGATTTATAATAGTCGACATCAAGTGTGTTGGTACACACAGAAAGAAGTATTGTCGAGGAACCTGAACAGATAAGAGAAAAAATTTATTCGCTAACTTCGACCCATTATTTCTATATCATTTGTTAATTATTTTTTCATAAATGTTCATACTGATCAACTGTAAACAATTTAGAAATATAACTAATTATTTACTGCCCATTATTCAGTGTTTTGCGATTGTAGAATCATCCATTCTCAATTTATATATAAACAGACAAGCCACAATTACCGATATTATTATTTTACATGACTATATATTGTTATTCCTTCATCGTCTATTCTAGTTACGTTTCCTCATAGATCCCTGGATGGTGACCATACATGATACACAATCATACCTAGAACAAATAATTGTACGCAAAAATCATTAAAACAAACAATGTTTTAAAAACTGAAAGTGAACTAAAATACATATTAATCAAAGTATCAACTTACTTTACCGTGCGTTTGTTTTACTAAATGATGGTTATTCCTCCCTGATAAATTATTTGTTTCATATAGTTTGTCTTTCTTGACAATTATATGACCTGAACCAGGAGAAGTATCTTTCGCTACTCCAGAGACTAATTGATTAAATGTTGAAAGATTATGTTCAAACTTTTGATTCATATTATCTAATTCTGAATAATCTGTTTTAACGCATGATTCATTAACAAGGTTCTTTTTTTTGTTTTTTAATAAGGTTAATGAGCCACTTCGAGTTAAATTTGAATGATGACTGATTGTTAGATCACTGCCTGTTGAATTTCTTGATGTATCATAACTTTGATCTTTACCTGTTGACTGATTAGCATTTATTATTGACGCGGGTAAAGTAGATGAGTATGATGTGGTTGTTTTGACTTCGAAATAGGCGGATTTCTTTGTTTCATTATCACAATCGTAATCTTCATCAACTGACGGCTCTGGACTTCCGGATTTTTCTGCACAAGCATTAACAGTTGCCATGAGTTGAGCTAATCTTATTCTTGCCTGTCTGGCACGCTAATAGGTTAGATAGAAAGTGAATCAAATACAGAATTAATTCAATTTTGTCCCGCAAGTCGAAATGATATAAAGTTAAAGATGTTCAGATACCCGACAAAAACAGTACAACAACCATCGTACCTTTAGGTTTTATTTATTAGTGCATGTTCACAGTAGAAACCTAATTCTGTCAACAAAATGGTGTCACTTTTAATGGCGTTCTATAACCCTGTATAAATTCATTACCTATAATGCTGAAATATATATGTATTGTTTTACGCGAAATTTCCCAAAATAAAATAGGAAATTACAAAGGAACCCAATTATATCGTTGATGTTGAAAATGGTATGATCGGTTATCATTGTATTAGAATACATATAAAAGCCTACAGTTTGCATAATTGTTATCTGTTTAATAACAGTAAGATCTCGCAATTACACTATCACTAGTTCAGATAGAAATTCTTACGTAGTTATAGCGTTTGATAATTTGTTTCCCATCACAATACACCTTTAAATAATTTAGCGAAAATAGTGTGCACTTGGGCATTTTGGGCAAATATTTCGGTAACATTTAAATTAATCACGATATTTTAAATATTTGTGGTCACATCCTCACAGTAGTTTACATGTCAGCCATCATTTCTAAATTAATTCCACCTGTTTATATCCCATGTGTACTTTTATCACTAAAATAGATTATTTTCTATGTAATGAAATGATATATTTGTAAATATAATGAAAGATGAAGGCCAATGTATTGCTGAAGATTTAAACGTATTTCTAGCACATGTTAAACTGTTTGACCTAAAGTTTTGTAAGGTCACACTGAAACAGAAATCCGATTTGCGTCACTGTAATAAAGCTTAAATATTGATTTAATTGATCTGTTTAATATAGTCGTTAAACGGTAATTACACTAAGCAAAATGAAGACGTTTCAATGAAAAAAATTCTTTCCTTTAATCGTGTTTAATAGCCAATCAATTCGGACGTCCTGCTTCTTAAAATTTTCCTGTAACTTTTGAACTAGCTGAATATAAACATACATTGTTTTAACTACAGTGTTTTTGTACTTACATTTGTCTACTGAAGTCTCTGTCCAGTTCGACAGTGAAATTAGCAGACAATTTTGTGAAAATGAGCTTGTGAAATATAACAGATTAAGTAAAAAAGTATAGAAATTTTGTATGCTAATAAGTTCAATTTGCAACTTAGTCGTCAGTTTATTTCGATATCTTTCAAATTAAATAAATATTTATGAATAGAGGGCATAAAACTAAATAAAAAGGAAACATACTTTTTTCCCAATCACTGGTGATGATATGCTTAAAGTATATCAGCCTTTTATAATTTATCCTACAGTAAAATGAGTGTTGAAAACTTTAGGAAAACCTATTTATAATCGCTAATGTAATTTACGAATTATTCTACTCTGAATATACCAAATCCAAAACCATGCCTCCTAGACTTACTTTTTGTGCCTGTCTTTTATCAGATCTTTGACTTTGATTATAAATACGAGAGAAGTTTGATACAATAACGGGAACAGGTAAAGCAATTACAAGCACTCCAGAAAGTGAACACATACCACCAACAATTTTTCCAACTATTGTCTCTGGAACCATATCTCCATAACTGATAAAAAACAAACAAAAGTTACCGATATTTTATTACGTGCTCGGACAGATCACAGAACCTCAGCTACACTTCAGTCTGAATATATTTAACTTTATTAAGCCCTTCAGTTAACTTATCTAACAGAATTGTCATTCGGTCAGTAACAATTTGTTTATATATTTTCATGATTATCATGTTTGTGTGAGCATGTATTCTTGAACATGGGTTAGATCTTACACGCATATCTTACCAGCACAAGTGTTAGTTACTTAAATTATTTGATGACTGATTTTGTTCCCCATATATATGGTTCTTAAATCCAATGTCTAAGTCGTAATCGTTCGCATTCATCCCTATTCGCATCAATGTTCGTATTTACTTTAAGTGTTTGTAATTTTGTGATCTGGGCTGTACAGTAATGAGCTTCAGTTAACGCTTCGTATCATCTTCCGAAATATAATCACCGTTGAGAGCTTTCGAAAATTGACCATTAGAACAAATTATATACAAAGCATAGGAATTATGTCGAAGGAATTCCACTACAAAATAGTTAAAGTACTCTATTACGCTTAAGAACAGTCATTTAACGGATATAGTGGGATGGTTTTGGAATTTGATTACAAAAACCACACAGTTCAAACCAAGTAACTGATACTGATATTGTTTTGAATGTAGACATGAAGATAAAGCTGTACAGAAATGTCAAATATGATTACAATGAAGTATAATTTATCAACTAACCAAACAGCTAATTTTATGAAAGAATTATATCACGATTTCCCTAATACTCATTAAGGTTATAGACGTCCCTGGATTTATACTACTTACCACCATAATTCGGTAAATTTAATTTACAATACTCCTTACTAACTGTATTTTGCCTCACAATTAAATATTAAGGAAAACATGGTCTGTAAACTATATAATGTACAATACAAACATAGACACAAGAAAACAATTATTTAAAATGATATACTCTTAGGAAAAATAACATTTTTGAGCTTCAGTTTTTCTTAATGATAAGATCGACTTTCATGAGGAAATCTGAAGAAACACTGGACAAATGGACAGGTAGCATTACAAAAGTACAATACAACCTTCCTACAAGTTACTAGCAAACTAAACAAATTCAAGATAACTCTCAACAACATGCTCCAAGCCTTACAACATCTACTACAACAAGAAGAAATTACGATGGAGGACAACTGGAAATCAATCAAAGAAGCACCAACTTCACCGAGTCAGGAGGTGTTAGGCAACAACAAGCATCATCATAAGGAACAGCAGTTAACAACAACCGAAAAGAAACCAAGAAAGTCAAAATACAAGCTGCATACACACAAGCATGAAAACAAGTGAAGAAGAGCACTAGAGCCGACAATCACAAATACGTGCAAATGCTGAATTGCAAGGAAATATGAAACAACTTTATGACACGACGAAGAAACCAGAAGGGAGATATAGTAAAATGGAATGGTCGGTCAAGGACAAGGAATGCAAGCCAATCACCGAGATTCAACAACAGAGGAACAAATGAGTAGAACACGTCGAGGAACTCTTCAATAGGCCAACTACACTTAATCCATCGAACATCAAAGCAGCACACACTGACCTCCCTAAAGATATCACTCCAGCAGCGAACGAACAAATTAGGATGGCCAGTCATCAGAAAAAGCAAAAGTGGGAAAACAGAACTACCTGAAAACATACCAGTCGAAACATTCAAGTCACACATAGAAACAACTGCAAGTATACTTCACTTTCTATTCAGGAAGATTTGGAACGAAAAAAGCAATCACACTTGATGGAGAAACTCTGGAACAAGTGGAAACATTCACTTGTCTGGTTAACAAAATCCACCAACCAGCACGATCTGATTCAGATGTGAAGACGAGGATTGGTGAAGCAACAATAGCATTCCCACAATTCCTACAACAACATATGCAACTCGAAACAACTGTCAATCAATATCGAAACCACAATCTTCAATACGAATGTCAAAACAATCAGTTCTACTGTACGGATCTGGAACGCACACAACCACTACAACCATCATCACAATCATACAAGTATTTCTAAACAATTGTCTATGCAAGAAACTCCAGATCCATTGGTCGGACACCATAAGCAACAACCTACTGTGGGAGAGGTTAAACCAGATTCCATCTGAGGAGCAAATTAGGAAACGACGTTGGAAGTGGATAGGACATTCATTACGAAAGTCACCAAACAGCATCATGGGGCAAGTGCTAACTTGAATGCTGAAGAAAAACGGAAAAGAGGAAGGCTGTTGGATACACTATATCGAGGATTAGAAGCAGACATGAAAATGCTGAATAGGAACTAAGAAGAACTGTAAACGATAGTACAGTATAGGGTTGGATGGAGATTGCTGGCGGACGACCTATGCTCCTCGACGAGGGAGAACAGGCATAAGAAAGTAATATTTGTTAAAGCTATTATTTAGTAACAAGGAGAAAAATGAAAGCAAAGAATAATGCATCATATTCTATGAACATTGATTTATGTTCGATACAGCATATCATTTACGTTCAGCTTGCTCTAATTACTGTGCATTTAGCACTTTGAAAGTTATACGTGTACGTATAAACCACAAAATGCATTACTGGTTTTTCTGATTCACAGAAAAATAAGTTTAACAAATAAAATCTAACATACAATGCATTTCCCCCACGGAAGTCATCTAACTCAATTCGGTCAGATATATATAGAAAGAATAAATTAATGAGGAAATGTTTCTATATACAAAGTAGGTTATCTATGATTTCTTTATTTCCAAATTTAAGGATACTAAAGCTCACATTTAGGTCAAATATCGAATAAGTATGTAAACAATATTTACTATGAATTTACGAATCACACAATATCTTTTATTATTAAACAATTCAATCTTTTTCAGTCCTAAACATCACTTGAAAGACCAGATTTTTCCTTGAGGATAAAACACATAAGTAATGAGAGATATGACACCCAAATAGTCAAAAATGATTATTGACGATATTTATAAGAATATTCTGTAATTTGTCAATAAATTCAACATATTAAATGAAGTTATTTTAGTGTGGTAAAACACAAAGATTACCATCGTATTCTTTTCATTGCACTGCTGCATATACTTCACATGTCAACTTTATAACTTCGCGGATTGGTTGAGGTTAGACATTAGCGCCATTGGATGCCGGCTCGGTGGTCCAGTAAGTTAAGCGTTCGCGCGAGACTCAAGGCCCCGAATTCGAGTCCCGCGGAGGGGTCGTGGATGCGCGTTGCTGAGGAGTCCCACAATGGGACGAAACGGCCGTCCAGTGCTTCCAGGTTTTCGGTGGTGGTCTAACATCAATCGGTTCATGATCTCAATCAAAAACGTAACAATCTCCACAACCCCTAAACTGATAACTTTATAACTGCTGTATTTAAAACCTACTTAAAATATTTCAAGGGGGATAAAATCGCAGCCGGATGCAAACAAAGCGTAACTGATAAGTTGATCCTAAAACTAACGTAGTGGACAAAAAACAAAAACCGTGTTCCTATCACAACACTATCCCTTAGATTTCTCAACGACAGCAAATTAAACTGTTAATTTTTTCATTGAATTTTCGTTGTTTAATCTCAAAGATGTCGTCCACCGAGAACTAGAGTAAAATTTTTGTTTCTACACCGCCTCTCTCCCAATATACTCCTATTCTTAAAAAGAAATTAAAACGTAACAATCATATTTTCTCAGGGTTGAAAATTTCCTTTACTAGTAATTCCTAAGGTTTCCATTATAATCTAACCAGTAATTTATTGAATAGCTGAACTTTCAATTGGTACCAAATTGATAAAGAAAGCAATATCATAAAATTACCTGGTGTCACCCTTTACATTCAGTGGGAACAATTCACACTAACTTAATCCCTTCAAATCAAAGGAGAAATAACAAAAAGACGAAATAAAAATTGGCCTACAAAAATTATGTATAAAAATTTCATGACAAACACCACTCACTACCCGTCTTTATTTAAAATTATTTATGTAAACTTACCCAAGTGTAGTCATAGTGACGATAGTATACCAAAATGATGATGGAATACTGGAAAAAGTGGTCCCTTCAACCGATTTTTCAGCATAATACATAACAGTAGCAAAAATAATAATAACCATTGTTAGACTAAATAGAAGAAAGCCCAGTTCTGATGCACATGACTTCAAAGTGTAGCCGAGTATTCGTAAACCAACACTGTGACGAGAAAATTTGAACACTCGAAATACTCGAAATACTCGTAACGTTGTAAATACACCAGAAACGCTCTGTAATAAAAAGGAAAATATATGTTTGTCAATCTGATCGCTAGTCTGACTTATAGCGTTTCAGTGAATCAATATAACTTCAATCATTAGACCAAACAGAAAATGTATTTGTGATAATATTTATTAATGCTCTAAGTTACAAAGTTCGAATGAAGTGTGGAGGTTTGGTGAAACTAGTTAACTGTTTATTTTGCATTGATGAGGTCGAATAATAGACATAACGGTTTTTTATCGTCTGACAAGCACTTAATCAAATGATGTGATTCAAATAAACCATACTTTATTTAATCCAATCACCTGTTCCACAGTAATTAAAACGGTTTTACAAAAAATTATGTAAATACCTTAACTTTTTAAATAAAAAGCTGAATCCATGCATAATTAAACAGCTTTTAAAGTATATAAATTACATCCGGTTTAATTGAGATCTTTCACGATTGCTCAACAAAATCAATATATTTAGAGAAAAAGAATACCGAAATTATAAACAGATCATAATTATATTTTTATGATTAAATAATACTTTTCAAAATTAAACATTAATTTAGCGAAACAAGTAAGCACTGAAGATGCATTCTAGATCTTTATTTTTTGGTGCAACAAAATACATTTCAATAAAAAGTCAAAATTCAGAGGAGATTTTTTCCTAACTAAACTTTCTTTGTAGGCGGCATGGACATTCATATAGTTTCAGAAGTTTTAAAATAAAATTTTAAAATCCAACCAAATTGTTTACATCACATAAAATAGTAAAAAGGCTATTATTTGTTAATTAACATTCAACAGATATTACATTTATCAGGAAAGTCCCATGTCATAAATCACTCTGTCCAGAAACTTAATATTTGATATGAACACTATTATCAACAGTTTCGAGTATAATTTAGATTAACATTATCCTAATCTCTTACATAATCGATGGAGTATAATCAAGATTTTTTATAAAGCTGTAGTTCATGAAGAGATTTCTAATGAGAAGTAAGAAGATAATGTTTTTAGCTATTTCGATTACAAATTATATATTATTTCAGATAGAAAATCATGTTCACATGAGTCGTCAAAAATACAAAATAATATGAATTGGTAGCAGTGCTGTACGTAATTTTGTGTGGTTTATGGTATAGCTTGCACCATTTCATAATTTCAACATCGAACAAATTGAACGAATTTATGATAAGTAAAAACTATTATCTCTATTTTCATTAAATTTCTAAATTACTGAATAGCCTACTATTAACTAGAATAAGAACATTAACTAGGCGTTATACTATTGGCATTAGCCGTAGTTTTCGAATGGCTTACACAAAATTATGTAAACGTGTAGCACACATGATGTTTGCATGTAGAAGCATAATGAATTATTGGAGCATATATTTTAATTATGGTATCTTTACTGGCATTCCATTCTACAATACAATTTCTGATTCAAGTAAACAAATTGCTTATAAAAACACATAAGAGTAGTGAAGTTATTACGCTAATTCAAAGATTTTAGAACAAGCATTCCAACTACACTACCATCGCTTTATGCTACATATATATATGCAAGTTCCGAAAGAAGTAATGTAAATGTGAAAAAATAAGAATGGTAGTAAAATGAAATGGAATAAAACTATTTCACTTAAAAATCAATGACTAATAACAGTTTCTTACATTACTTGTTTTTTTGTAGATGTTCAAAGTGACTAGTGTTTTTAACCATATTTCTTAAACGTATTTATCAACTCACATATACTTGATAAAGGTGACATCAATGAATATCAAGACAGAGTCATAGAAAATATTATCTTCCAAATAGACTTACAAATTCATGTAAAATTGCTTCGAATAAAAGTCACTTTATAAAAAGATGTATTTGGGAATTTATAAAAATTGTAAATATGAAATTTTAAGTTAATGAATGACCGATAAGGATACCAACAAGTGCAAGTTTAATTTCTCTAATTAGAATAAAAATTTCATATTAGTTAAAACATTTGAATGATGTGATTATGCAATTAACTAATACAAATCACTTAACAGTTCATTCATTATGGTAATGGTAATATTAATCCATTAAAAGATCTCAGAAGTTACTCGTAATTCAATCTTTGCTAGGATATAACAACTACTTGTTTTTTAAAGCATAACATTCGAATTATAAATGTTAAATATCCATAACCAAAGCACTTACTGTTATTCTATGCTTCATGACTTTTAAATGATATACTTGATAGTTATTATAAATATTCCAAAGTTTTATTTTCACAAGCTCTTTCTGACCAAACTTTATAACTGAGTTACAGTAGAACATTGAAAAAATTAGATTTAATCTGAACAATTTGTTTGTTTTACAAAATATTAAATTGAAAATATAACCGATATAAATGATTGTGTTGGTTTAAATTTTGTCGGGAAATGTATTATGCAACCTGCTAAAATGTCAAGATTTTCAAAGCAACTAACTTTTAACGTGATCTGACAATCATAAAGTATAAATGTTTTGTAAAATGTCAAACCTAAGACATTTTTACAGAAACTAATTAAATCTATGATACTATTTTTGTTTTTATCATTATAATTGATGCACTGAAACAAAAACTGACTTTTTATTATGTTTAATTCCCTGCTATACAAATTTAAGACATGAAATGAAAGTTATTTATAGGAGATTTGAAAACCCTGAAACTTTTCAACAGTGTGGTCATATTTAAAACATCAGTCAATCTTCATTTCTATGAATCATTAGACAATATTCATTTAAAAAATGTAACTAAAAGTCTGTCTTCGTAACTACTAAATAATAAAATCTTGATTTCCTGTGATAGTTAAAGAGCTATTATTCTAATGGCTGCCGAATATTTCGCTGAAGTAATTTACTGGTTTTATTATGGACAGTGTGTTCTAGTTAATATAATTTGAACAAAAAGATAATTAATTTCTTTATAATAATGTTCAATTAAATAACATTGTTCAGTTAAGTTTTGCCCTTTGTCTATTGAAATTATTTTAGCATCCACTAACTACATTTAACCATCTGCTAACAATCGGTATTTTCTGAGAATTAGGTAATCATGGTCACAAAACCATCTCACTATCCTACTAAAATAATCACGTCAGGTTTTAGACTGAGATGAATAGTGATACAAGATCCGGTCTTTAAAATATTAATAATTCATTACTATTTTCCTGTGCATTTCTGGTTCGGTTTCTTTAGATCACTTGTTTCATTCCTCCAATATCATAAGCTTACATTACCAAATCAGTATTCTTATTTGAACAGTAAAAATGACTTATCCAACTGACGTGTAAAAACGTTAAGTATATTTATAGTTTAGGTAAATTAATTTATTTTATCCATTAACTTAACCATTGTCTGACAGCCTACTTGATCACAATATGGGTGTGAATATCGCACTTCTCAATATTATGCAAATACCAATAATTCAAATACATTCATCTAATGGACTGATATTTTGATCTAATTATAAGGGTAACTACATACAGATGAAGTCTCAATTCCTTTTAAGTGTAACAATATTAAGTGATGAGAGTGTAAGTGATCTCCATATCTGGATATATATATAATTACTGAGCAAAAAATCAAGGCAATTTTTGTAACATAATGTATGTTAAATGGATGTTGTTTACAATCAGAAAGCCGGTTACCATGAGAACCGAAAATAGATGACAAACAGGTATTACGTATTTAATTAATATTTACTGAAGACTGACTGAATTTTGACACTAACTAACAAACAATGGTTGCTTGCTTTGATCAATATGAAGTTAAAACTCTCAAGCATCTAGAAAGTTTCTGTAAATGAACTCTCAGTAAAAGACATTCAACAATGAAAAATAGAATATCAAATGTTATACTCTGTTATATAGTAAATTATATTTTCATGAAAAACTGGAGGCTTGGTTGATTTAGAGATACAGCATTCTGTATTTAAAAGTAAAAGCAAAAGTGATATGAAAGCATATGTACAAAAAAACAGTATACGAAAGTTATGAGAGCCGAATAAAAAAACTTGAAATGACGGACCATACCAGTTGGAGATTCATCTAGATAGTTGTAAGTAATAGCTAACTATTTATAAATACATATGTAACTACATGATTAAATCAGTTTAGGCCACATCCTGCGCATACAAATAAAGAAACCATATTTCAGTAAATACGATATATTCATAAACCAGCGGTCAATCAATTTGTTTCTTGATGAGTGCTTAGTTTGTTAACTGTGAACTATCAGTACTTGAGTATTTTAAGTCGATAGAATAAGAATTTTGATAAAGGGAGAAAAACAATGGAAGAAGTTGACTTAGTAGTTATGAAGTTACGCTAAATTAGTTAGTAGACAAATAAGTATTCATCACGAATGTCATTCTGTCAACATATTATTAGTCTATAGCTTACAACAAGATAAACATATTAACAAGCTACTACTGAATTTCCCTCAGTCTTCATTAAAAAAATCGTCTTTTTAATCCTACACAATGTTTATTAAAGTTTTCTATATGGCTAAAATGAACATCTGAAATCCCTTAAAGCTATTTTGTGTTGTTACGAACACTTCATCTGTGTTAGATACTGAGACAGGTCGCAGATTAACAGACCATACTCATTCGACAATGTTATATGTATGTATGGAATGTCATTTAAAAATGAAAACACTTGATATCAGTGTATGTTGAACTGAAGACTGAGTCGACCATTTTCTTCAGATAGATAATTATTCGTTGAAACACGTAAAATTTAGATAACTGATTGCACCACTTAGAGCAAACTAATTATCTGGATCAGATTAATTGATAGTATCAGATAATTTATTTAGAAAGTTTATCGTTTTTAACTATTTCAATAAAAGCAATTGATGGATCTTTAATAATCACAGAGAAAATAGTATTATTTTATGTGAAACATTGTTTTACAGTCGTTTGCCAAAAAACTTCGATCACTATAGTTCTATTACATTCACAATTTTTGGTGTTCCAGATAGGTTTTAATTTACTTCT